AAAAAAAAATTTCGGACTTTATCTTATCTTCATGGTGAAAATGGCTACCGAATGCTATTTTTGTGTGAAAATTTTCGATTTTGTATTTTCCATTTTTAACTTTATTATGCTATAACTTTTTGAAAAATGTATGAATCATTACAATTTTTTTATGAGAAGTAGTATTTATATAGATCTTTCATTCGACATACTGTTTTTTTAAATCGGACCATTTCCCTAAATACAGGGGGGATTCAAAACATAAAAATGCATATAGAAAGTAGAACTTTTTCAACGTAACTTTTGAAAGTGTTCCGGAAGGTCTGACACTTTTATATATATCTTAAATTAAAGCTAATGTAATATACTTTATAATGGTAAAAAAAAATTTCGGACTTTATTTTATCTTCATGGTGAAAACAGACATTAAACTTAATAAAAAAAATACGATTTTTGTAAAAAAATTCTTTTTTATATTTTTAACTTTATAATGCTATAACTTCTCGAAAGATGTATGGATCAATATAATTCTTTTTTTTGTAGATGCATGATGTCTTTACCTATCATTTGGTATATTTTTTTTATAAATCTGACTTTTTACCTGCCTACAGGGGGGGATTCAAAATGACAACTTTTTCACAAAAAATTGACTTTTTCAACTTAAATTTTGAAAGTGTTCCGGAAAGTCTGACACTTTTATATATATCTTAAATTAAAGCTAATGTAATATACTTTATCATGGAAAAAAAAAATTTCGGACTTTATTTTATCTTCAAGGTGAAAATGGCTACCAAATGCTATTATTGTGTGAAAATTCTCAATTTTTTTTTTTACATTTTTAACATTATAATGCTATAACTTATTGAAAAGTGTATTGATCAATATAATTTTTTTATGGGAAATACTATTTTCTAATAATCTCTTTTTTATTCGACATACTTTGTCTTAATCAGGATATTAATAAGGAACTAGCAGTTTATGAAGCTTTTGGAATAATCCACCAATTTTTTAAAATTAAACACTATCTAAAGATTTGCATCGAAGCGTTTTTTTTTTATAGTGATTTTAATCACTGTCAGATATCATTATACTTGATCCAACTATGCTACGTCACCACTGTGCCGCGACCCCCCTGTGCTGGGTTTTTTAACTTAAAAGAAAAAAAACCCAGCACAGTGGGGTCGTGGCATAGTTGGGTCCAGTATAGATTTAATCTGACAGTGATTAAAATCACTATCATAAGAAACCTTTCGATGCAAATTTGTAGATAGTGTATAATTCTAAAAAATTGATAGATAATTACAAAAGCAACATTAACTTCTATTTCCTTAATTACACCCAGATTAGTAATTCTTTTAATTATATATTATATAATTTTTAAAATTAATTCTTTTCAAATTATTATTGATTTTGATTTTTAATATGTTAAAAGTAATCATTTTGAATCTACTTTTTTTTGTCCTTTAAAGTGAAAATTTTAACAAAAAAAAAAAAATTTATTACTATAACTTTTATCTTTACTTGCAAGTTTGAAATTGACATTATTAGATAGAAAAAAATGAAATTTTTAAGATTAATATGCAATAATGAAATTTTATAATTACTATATACAGTACATTTATCAGAAAAGCTCAATTTTTTTTGTATTTATATCGTAATATATCATTTAAATAGAAATCATAGTAATCATTTCTAATTAACTTTTAGCGTTTAAAAATATTCTACAATCGAAATATGGGGAAGTATATTAATTTTAATGATTTACTTTAACTAAAAAAACCAATAAAAAAAGTTGTTAAAAATATCTACTCAATTTAGCTTATTATAAAATTTGATTATAATTGTAAAAATCCATTGTTCAATTCATGTGAAACTAAATATCATTTTTTTTTAGATTTATGATTTAAATAGCAACACGTTACAAAAAAAATTTGGAATATTATAGACTGGTAGTAGCACACACAAATAGAGTTAAAAAATTAACGAATTACAATGTAAAATTATTTACTTTTGTAGTTGAATACTTTTATCATATTAAATCTAATTCGACAATAAATACTTTAAAAATATTAGAAATTAATGATTTCAATTGTTTGTATGGAAAAAGCTGGTTAAGCTACTTTTTATTTGAATATGATTATTTTTTCGATTTTTAAGAGTAATAACTTAAATAAATACAAATTGAAATCAGTTGACGTATCGTAGCCACAAAAAGAACCACATAGTAAAATAATATTAATATGAATATAAATTTCTTCTCACGAGGAGACACTATAGTGATAGGATTCTTTATATTTATTGAAGTTATTGAATCTAAATGAGATAAATATCAAATTTGAAAATTTTATTCTAACTCAAAAAAAAATGCAAAATATTAATAGTCATAGACGGATTTGATCTTCTTACCCTAAGCGTGATAGAGACAAGTTCTACGGATTCGGCAACTGTCACCTGATAAAATTTACTATTTTAGCCAACACAAATTAAAAAATTACTTTTTGGACTTTAAAAAAAGTAACGCATTCACCCCACCCCGCTCACCACTTACCATCAACAATATTTTCCTGTATAGTTTAATTTTTGGTTTTCGTACCCGTACACGAGTGCGTGACATCAATTATATATATATAAAAAAATTTTTATTTTGACTGACCAATACCACTCGCATGTAATGCGGCTTACGTATATATATTTACATATTCCTACAGTCGCCGCATATGCCTCGCGTACAACGTTCCCCCGCTCCCGCCCGCCGACAAAACACAGCTATACCTCGTGCATGATACGGTTACGTACTCCAGTCGCTTTACTACATGTATATTATTATATATATTATTATATATTCTAATTACTATTAACAATATATATTAACACGCTTTATTCTCATTAAGAGATATAGAGTGTATTCATTCCGATTACCGTATCGTCATTTTTCGTCACTACCTCCATGTTCCGGGAGTGGGTAATTTACGCACCTGCTGCATTCCTTAGATGTGGTAGCCGTTTCTCAGACTCTCTCCTTGGAATCGAACACTGATTACTCGTTACAACTATGATATTGATAGTAACTACTATCATAACATGAAACCATAAAGTGAAAAATAAATATAGTTTAAAAAAACTAAAAAAACACGCTTTTAAACTATATTTATTATTTAATTAAGGTATTTGTTTTCAATTTTTGAGGATAATATCATCAACTAAATATGCATTTGACATATCGTTGAAAAAAGTAGATTAAGTGAGTGTTAGAAAAATAAATCGCAGACACAAAAAATATATATTTAAAGTATGGAGTATTTCCGGATCATTTTCAAAAGTTAAGTTGAAAAAGTTTGCATTCTTTACACATATTTTTAAAAATTGAAATCCCACCTGTATAAAGAAAAATGGTCCGATTAAAAAAAAAATATGTCAAACAAAATAATTAAACATAAAGTATTTATGAAAAAAAATTGTATTGATCCATATGTTTTTCAAAAAGTTATAGTAATTTAAAGTTACAAAAATACAATATGAAATCTCAAATTTAAACACCAAAATAGCATGTTTTTTAACTACGACATGGAAGATAATTCATCAGAACAATTTTTTTTTACTTGAAATTATATTACATAACATAAGCTTTATTTTAACGTATGTTCGAAGCTCGGAGTATTCCTAGAATATTTTCAAAACTTAAGTTGAAAAAGTTAATTTTTTGTGCAGAAGTTGTAATTTCGAATCCCCTCTGTGGTCAGATAAAGAGTCAGATTTTCCAAAAAACTTTTTCAAATAAAAGGAAAATATCTAAGATTTCAATATCAAAAATAATTATTTTGATTTGTTCATTTTTCAATAAGTTATGACAATTTTAAGAAAAAAAAAAATGTCGAAATTTACCGATATTAAAAATGGTAATTTTTAGGGCGATTTTTACTATTTACGGGGAACAAGGGCAAAATTTTCAATTTTTGAGGATAATGCTTTCAACTATAATCAATTTGTATCTTTTGACGTTATCATTAAAAAAAATCGGACCAGTGAGAACTGAGAAAATGTAGTGACCGACACAAAAAAAATAAAATAAACACATCATGGTAAAATTAATACCTTCTCAGCTTCGCATCGAATGTAAAAATGGTTTTCGATATTAATTACCATAATTTACTCTTATACTTGCATAATATATTTTTTTCTTAATTATATGAATAAAATAATATGTTATACAATTTTAAGTTATGTATTTTATTTTAATTTAAATAACTGTATCATGTATAAGTATGTTAAAAATTTATCATATATAAAAATTAATAACTTGAAATGAAAATGTACATATTTTTTTAATGCAGTTATAATAATGTGATAATATTTTACTAATTCTATTTCAGAATAATGCTACTTCAATTATTATTGTGATTATCTGTTTCATAAAAGGTAATTTTTTTTCGGTCATTTTAAAATTTTTAATTTGTAATACTTCTAATGACGAACTAGGTATTTAGATTTGTTAAGCACATGTTTCTCAAAACCACAGAGGGGTTAAATAGATATTATTAGGTTGTTCATAACTTATGTAATTAAAATAGTTTGTAATTCATTACAAAAGAAGTACTATAATTAAGTAAATAAAAATTATAAAGAGCAATATACATAAAGGATGATTGGTTAATATAAACCTCTTGATTATTCGAATTAAACCTTACTACATGTAAGGGTCTCAAGTTAATTTTCATAGTAGTAACATACATATTTAATTAACTTATAAAATAGAAAAAAGTCTAATTAAGAAAATAACATCTTTTGGAACAGTACTTTAAGTTATTTTCATTTTTATATATAAGCGTGGCAAAGAGTACGGCTGTGAAATGACAAGAGATAAAAATAGTAGCATCCACTTATCGCCTCCAGTTTTTCATTAAAATTTTTAATAACTTTTGAAATACTAGTCCAAATGTTGTAATCAACCAGTTATTTTTTTAATTACATCATTTTATATTTTATGAACTAGTTAAATATATGTACGTTGTCATTTTAAAAATAAATTGATAACCTAAGTTTAAGTTTAAGTTTAATATTAAGTTATAATAGATGATTTTAAAAAGTAATTATCAATTGATAAATTAAGAATTGTATGTAACTAAAAGAAATCAAAAATTATTTTTTCTATATTGAACAGGTTGATTGACTAACTATGCCTCACGAATTTTCATTAAAAATATTAGTGTTACCATATAAGTAATTATTTTATTTGTTATAAAACTTTGTTAAACTACTTGTCAAGAAAAATAAAGATTTCATTTTCATCCCTTAACCCTTAAATCAATATCAACTTTAGTTTTTCAAATCGCAACCCAGTTTTTTTTTATTAATCTTGTTGAGCATAAAAAAAAATTCTCAAAAAAAAAAAAAAATAAATTTTAAACGAGATATCATTATTTAAATTTTAGAGGATTTAACAAATAAAACAGTAGTCGGGTAAATACAGTAAGGTTAATATTTATTGTACAGATAATAATCATCGGTGTATTGTACACCGTATTNGTAAATACAGTAACGTTAATATTTATTGTACAGATAATAATCATCGGTGTATTGTACACCGTATTGTATAATCGTAAAATGTGCGCGTCTTTTATAAATCAACGTGAATAATATTCACGTCCCCTAAAATTTAATGAATTATAGCTGACAATTGAATAAAATTTAAAACGTTTTTTATGAACAATTTTTATAAAACTAAATCTAATCTGATTATATAAAAAAAAATAGAGTTAACATATAAAAATTGAAAGTTGATACTGATTTAAGGCATAAGGGATGATCATATAAATATAATTTTACTCACTGAGTAGCCCAAGATAGAAACATAATAACAAAGATAACTCTTATAATTTCAGAGATAATTTGTGAGTCATAGTTAATCAATCACTCTATATTTATTTTGCGAGTAATCGAGTAGTTAATAATAGCTGACCAGTATAATAAACTGGTTTAATATAAGGTATCCCAACAGTTTTTGGTCTTTAATAAGAGTTCAGCCTGGCCTAGTGGGTAGAAACGTTGTTACTTAATGTAGTGACTATAATGAAAATATTTATAAAGTTTGACATTAAAAAGGGGTCAAATATCTCTAGTTAATTTTGAATTTGCTAGTCATCATCTCAAAAATGAAGAAGTTAAATAATTTAACAACTATATTTAAATTATAAATAAATAAATCTAAGAAAAATTAAATTTGTAGTGTTTGTCAATGCCACAAAATCATTGGAAGTATCTAAAAGTAAGTAACAATTATTATTAAAGTTGTAAATTTTATTAGCAAACTGCATGTTGTGCTTAAGGATTATGTAATTAATAAATTACATACATTTTATTTTTAACACTGTAAAACGGGCCAACTTTGGATGATGTTTAAACTAGGGACAGTTAAATATTTTATAGATTTCATCTCAAATTTTGTGAAGAAATTTTTTGTGTTTCTTAACAATACATGTAAACATTTAACTAGTGTTGTAAATTGATAAGACTGAAATGATTATAGATATTTAACTACCCCAAATTGGCCAAGAAATGGAATGTATTGAGGATGAGAGATACAGTCAAATCATCAAAGTTTAAAATATAAATATAATGTAGATTTTAAAGTCAACATGCTCATAGCATGGAGGCTAAGCTCACGCTTTGGGAAGGGCCTTCAAAAATAAAATTAACTCATCCAAAAAAACTTTTATATTATATGATATAAAAATATTATTGAAAGGGGTACATAAATTTAGAATACAATAACTTTCTTTTTAATTTGAATTAATAAAAAAATAATAATTTTACTAGCGCAAAACAATGAGGCTGTAGAAATGATAAAAGGTAAATTATTTTTTGTTTTATACGAGAAAAAATTTAATAAATATTACATCATAAATAATTGTTGGAACAGATCTAACAGACAACTCTTATAACTCCCCATACAATTATCATTTTTTTAAATAATTTCTGAATACTTGTACTTTTTTAAAAGTAAAATTTTTATGTCGGTATAGATCATAATTGAGAATACTTATAATGTATACTCCGCGCCACACTACATAGAATCTAGTACATATCCTCAATCTATGTATTAAAATCAGTGGCGGCTCGTGGTTTGGACGACAGAACATTTGCACCCCCTACTAAAATTAATTGAAAGAAGAAAATTAATTGTATATTTTTAATTCTACATTTTTAAGAAATATTTATTATTTAAAATGCAAATTTTAAAATAATTATAATTATTAAAATGTCGTGTGCGAACATTATAGTTGTTTCCCTTTGGATACTTGGTGTATAAGCGGATACACGTATGCCACACAAGTAGTGTTTGGACAACCGGCAGTGTCGTCCATACGGTAAATTACTTGTATATTGGGTAATTTATTATTAGAATTAACTGCATGTCCACTCGTCGTTTTCGGTTGCTATAATATTATAATGAGTATACTTTAATTGCTATTATTATTATTCTCATTTACTTTTTCTATTGCAACCTTTAAAATAATAATATGTGTATTGTGTTTTATTTTATTATATATAATTTGATGATTTTTAGCTTCGATACGAAGCTGAGATAGTATTGGTTTTACTATATTTTATAACTATATTTTTTTTATAAATTTGACCTTTTACCTGCCCACAAGGAAGGATTTAAAATGAAAACTTTTTAACTTTTTCAACTTAACTTTTAAAAGTGTTCCAGAAAGTCTGACACTTTTATATATATCTTAAATTAAAGATAATGTAATGTACTTTATCATAGAAAAAAACCCAGCACAGGGGGGTTGCGGCATAGTGATGACGTGGCAAAGTTGGATCAAGTATAATGATATTTGACAGTCATTAAAATCACTATCAAAAAAAAACGTTTCGGTGCAAATCTTTAGATAGTGTTTAATTTTAAAAAATTGGTATATTATTCCAAAAGCTACATAATCTGCTAGTTCCTTAATAATATCCTGATTAAGATAAAGTATGTCGAAGGAAAAAGGGATTATTAAAAAATATTATTTCTCATTAAAAAATTATGTTGATCAATACACTTTTCAATAAGTTATAACATTATAAAGTTAAAAATGTAAAAAATAAAATCGAGAATTTTCACACAATAATAGCATTTGGTAGCTATTTTCACAGTGAAGACAAAATAAAGTCCGAAATTTTTTTTTTGCATAATAAAGTACATTACATTAGCTTTAATTTAACATATATATAAAAGTGTTCGACTTTTCGAAACACTTTTAAAAGATAAGTTGAAAAAGTTCTACTTTCTATATGAATTTTTCAGATTTGAAACCCCCCCGTATAATAGGAAATAAGTCTGATTTAAAAAAAAAGTATGTTGGATGAAATATGTATATAAATACTACTTTTCATGAAAAAATTGTATTGATCCATACATTTTTCAAAAAGTTATAGCATAATAAAGTTAAAAATGTAAAAAATAAAATCGATAATTTTCATACAAAAATAGCATACGGTAGACATTTTAACCGTAAAGACAAAATAAAGTCCGAATTTTTTTTTTTCATAATAAAGTACATTACATTAACTTTAATTTAAGATATATATAAAAGTGTCAGACCTTCCGGAACATTTTCAAAAATCTAGTTGAAAAAATTAATTTTTTGTGAAAAAGTTGTCATTTTAAATCCCCCCCTGTGGGCAAGTAGAGGGTCACATATAAAAAAATATACTAAATGAAAGGTTATGATATCATGCATCTATATAAAAAAAAATTATATTGATTCGATTATTTTTAAAAAAGTTATAGCAATTTTAAGAAAGAAAAGTGAAAAAAATGATAAAATTTACCGATTTTTAAAATTGTAATTTTTTTGGATATTTCTCCTATTTGCGGGGAACAAGGGAAAATTGTTCAATTTTTGAGGGTAATGTCTTCGACTAGATGCGATCTTTTGTTGTATTGAAAGAAATTGGTTCGGTGAGAGCTGAGAAAAAGTGGTAACAGACACAAAAAAAAAAAGACAAAAATACATTTTTCTGTAAAAATGCATTGCATTGAAGTGTTTTACAAAGCAACAGAATATCTACATAATTCAAAGCTGAATCAAATTTAAGGTTTTATCGTGTACTATAATATTAAAAAAAACCCATCACAGGGGGGTCGCGGAACAGTGGTGACGTGGCATAGATGGATCAAGTATAATGATATCTGACAGTGATTAATAAAGTCCGAAATTTTTTTTTTACATAATAAAGTATATTACATTAGCTTTAATTTAATATATATAGAAAAGTGTCAGACTTTCCGGAACACTTTCAAAATTAAAGTTGAAAAAGTCAATTTTTTGTGAAAAAGTTGTCATTTTGAATCCCTATCTGTAGGCAGGTAAAAAGTCAGATTTATAAAAAAAATATACCAAATGATAGGTAAAGACATCATGCATCTACAAAAAAAAAGAATTATATTGATCCATACATCTTTCAAAAAGTTATAGCATTATAAAGTTAAAAATATAAAAAAGAATTTTTTTACAAAAATCGTATTTTTTTTTATTAAGTTTAATGTCTGTTTTCACCATGAAGATAAAATAAAGTCCAAAATTTTTTTTTCCCATAATAAAATATATTACATTAGCTTTAATTTAAGATATATATAAAAGTGTCAGACCTTCCGGAACACTTTCAAAAGTTTAGTTGAAAAAGTCAATTTTTTGTGAAAAAGTTGTCATTTTGAATCCCCCCCTGTAGGCAGGTAAAAAGTCAGATTTATAAAAAAAATATACCAAATGATAGGTAAAGACATCATGCATCTACAAAAAAAAGAATTATATTGATCCATACATCTTTCGAGAAGTTATAGCATTATAAAGTTAAAAATATAAAAAAGAATTTTTTTACAAAAATCGTATTTTTTTTATTAAGTTTAATGTCTGTTTTCACCATGAAGATAAAATAAAGTCCGAAATTTTTTTTTACCATAATAAAGTATATTACATTAGCTTTAATTTAAGATATATATAAAAGTGTCAGACCTTCCGGAACACTTTCAAAAGTTAAGTTGAAAAAGTTCTACTTTCTATATGAATTTTTTAGATTTTTAGATTACGAGGGGGGTATATAAGGAAATAGTCTGATTTAAAAAAAAGTATGTCGAATGAATAATGTATATAAATACTATTTCTCATAAAAAGATTGTATTGATCCATACATTTTTCAAAAAGTTATAGCATAATAAAGTTAAAAATGGAAAATACAAAATCGAAAATTTTCACACAAAAATAGCATTCGGTAGCCATTTTCACCATGAAGATAAGATAAAGTCCGAAATTTTTTTTTTNTATAATGATATCTGACAGTGATTAAAATCACTATCAAAAAAAAACGCTTCGATGCAAATCTTTAGATAGTGTTTAATTTTAAAAAATTGGTGGATTATTCCAAACTCTACATGCTACATGTTCTGCTAGGTCCTTATTAATATACTGATCAAGATAAAGTATGTCGAATGAAAAAGGAATTATTAAAAAATAGTATTTCCCATAAAAATATTATATTGATCAATACACTTTTCAATAAGTTATAGCATTATAATGTTAAAAATGTAAAAAATAAAATTGAGAATTTTCACACAATAATAGCATTTGGTAGCTATTTTCACAGTGAAGACAAAATAAAGTCCGAAATTTTTTTTTTCCATTATAAATTATATTACATTAGCTTTAATTTAAGATATATATAAAAGTGTCAGACCTTCCGGAACACTTTCAAAAGTTAAGTTGAAAAAGTCAATTTTTTGTGAAAAAGTTGTCATTTTAAATCTCCCCTTGTGGGCAGGTAAAGAGTCAGATTTATGAAAAAAATATACCAAATGAAAGGTAATAATATTATGCATCCTTATAAAAAAGAATTATATTGATGTGTTTATTTTTGAAAAAGTTATGGCACTTTTAAGTAAAAAAAATTGAAAAAATTTCGAAAATTAGCGATTTTTAAATTTGTCATTTTTTTGGAGGTTTCCCCCTTTTACGGGGAACGAGGGAATTTTTTTCAATTTTTAAGGGTAATGTCTTCGACTAGATACGATTTGTGATCTTTTGACGTATCGTTGAAAGAAATCGGTTCGGTGAGAGCTGAGAAAAAGTGGTAACAGACACAAAAAAAATAAAAAAAAAAACACATCTTAGTAAAACCAATACCTTCTCAGCTTCGCATCGAAGCTAAAAACACATGTTAGTAAAACCAAAACCTTCTCAGCTTCGCATCAAAGCTAAAAAAATTAGGACTTTATATTGTCTTCATGGTAAAAATACCATATGCTATTTTCGTGTGAAAATTCTCGGTTTTATTTTTTACATTTCTAACTTTATAATGCTATAACTTATTAAAAAGTGTATGGATAAATACAATTTTTTTATGAGAAATAATATTTATATCTCTTTTTCATTCGTCATACTTTATCTTAATTAGGATATAAATAAAGAAATAGCAGATCATGTAGCCTTTGGAATAATCTACCAATTTTTTAAAATTCAACACTATATACAGATTTGCATCGAAGTGTTTTTTATGACAGTGATTTTAATCACTGTCAAATATCATTACACTTGTTCCAACTATGCCACGTCACCATTGTTCTGCGATCCCATTGTGCTGGGTTTTATATACCTATTGCTAGTGGTAGTATATTTAAAGTCACATCTCCACCAGTAGCACCCACGAGCCACCTCTGTTTATAACTCAATAACTTGTTTTAAAATTTATATCTAAAATCTTTTATAAGAGAAGTTCTAATGAAATATTGAAAAAATAAAAATACTTTACTTTTTAATAAACATAGTTTTTTAGCATAATTTAAGAATACAATAATTATTTTAAAAAAAGGTAAAATGATTTGATAACTTTGTTAAAATTTATAACAGTTGTCAGTTAGCTATGTTATGGTTATCAACTCGATATACTCTACAAGACATCAACGCAGTAGATAATATATATATATATATATAAATATAACATCATATATAAACATAATATTAATAAATATATTTATTTTTGAAATTTTTAAACTAACATGTGCTGTATCTTACAAAAAAATCTTTATAAATGTTCTTGTTTCTTGATTTGTTGTATTATTCAATATCTAATAAACATATTAACATGTAAATTCCTATTTTTCTAATTTCTAAAATGAATTATGAATGCAATACTTTTTGTATTTGCTAAAATAAATTGTTTTTAATGTAAATTGAATTATAATCAATTATCTTCATTTTTCTTTTATTTTAATTATTTTTTTGCAAGAAAAAGAAAAAGAAAATTATAAAAACTTTATTCCCTAAAAAAAGTATTTTTAGTTCTTATAATTTTAAAATGCTTCATTAGTTCGGAAATAAATTATTATTATTCGCTTAAGAATATTTTAATTAATTTTCATTATTTTTAAACCTAATCAAAATGTACAATTATAAATTATGTCATTGAATTTATTAATTATTACATTTTGGTAGATGATGAAATGTGCTTCTTGTGTCATGAAGAGAAATTAACAGTAAAATTTTTACCTTGTTTACATAAAATCGGAAATGAATGTGCAAGTAGATTATTTGCGTATGGTCACAAATATTGTCCATTATGCAAAACAGAAATAATGATGTTATCAAACTATGGTACTTATTTCCAATATATGATGGTGTTTTTTTATTTATAATGTTTTTGTAGTCTTTTACAATTAAAAAATTCTAGAAAAATTACAGTTATTTATCATTAAACATGTAATTTTAAAGAAAAAAAAAATTTAAGCAAAAATGTAAATTTAAAGCATTTATTAAAGCGTTTATGGAAAACGTATTCGTATATGAAATTTTACTTATAACTTACATTATAATATCTGAAAATAAAGTTCAAGTTATACATTTTTAATTACTTCAATGGTGATTAGTAGTACCCAATAACTATTTATACTAAAGTTGTTATTGACCCATCAACATTTTTTGTTAGAAAAAAGGTAAAAAATAATTTTGAAATTTAAACAAAATAAATTTTTTTTTTTTTTAAATTGACTTTATTTGAAAAATTACAATCTATACAGTATGCACAATAAGTAATATTTATAATTTATAGACAGTTGACAATGTATTTGTACATGAGGAGGAAGTCATATATTTGAGACATCTCTTAATATTATTAAGTTATTATTTTTAGGTATTTAAGTCGCGGCACCAATTTCTTTTTGTGGCGTCTTGTAAGGTTCCCAGGAAGTGTTAAAGAAGCTAAATCGTGTACTAGTTGGTTGGAAATATCCTGTAACTTGGCGTGGAAGCGTTTATAATATATAGCAGCAGTATCATTGATTGAAGGTAGTTTGAGGTTGGAATTTAAGGTCTCGTTTGAGACCAACCAGGGTGTACCAGTGATTATCCGCTGGCAGATGTTTTGGAATGCTTAAATAATTCTTTTATTTGAGGCCTTAGCAGAACCCCAGATTACAATACCATATGTCCATATTGGTTGAAGAAGAGTTTAGTACAAAATTATTTTGATGGATATGGTTAGGTTAGAACGGAGAAGTGGCCTTAACAGATGGAGTCTGGAATTTAGTTTTTTACGCTTATCTTTAAGATGACAAGACTAAGTTAGGTGCTTGTCGAATGTAAGACCGAGGTATTTAACTTCATTCGAGTGAGGAATGATGATATTGTTAATTGATACAGCTGGGCAGTTAAGAGGTCTAAGTAAAAAAATAACAAAGTAAGACTTTGATTCATTCATTTTTATTTTCCAGTTGGTGAAGCATTGTGAAAGAGTATTAAGGTGAGTTTGAAGTTGTTGAGACGCAATGTTGTGGTCGGGAGAAGCTGATAATAGGGCGGTATCATCAGCATAAGTTCCGACTATAGTGTTTTCAGATGTAGGCAGGTCTGACGTATAAATAGTATATGAGAATGGAGCGATATCACTGCCTTGAGGGATAGAATTGATTTGAATGTTGCAGGTTGTAACGAACATTAAATGAGCGGTTTTCAAAATAGGATTTTAGTATTAAGTACAGTGGAGCTGGAAAAGTATTTTTAAGTTTGTAAAGAAGACTGTTATGCCAGACGGTACTAAATGCTTTCGCAACATCCAAAAAGACTCCGGCGCAGTATTTTTTGGTTTCGAGTGCAGATGAGACAAACCAGCGACCCGGTGGAATTGGTGAGTTGTGGCATGTTGTGAGCGGAAGCCAAATTGCAAGTTAGGGATAATGTTGTTTGATTGTACTTTATTGGTAATGCGCTTGAGAATGATTTTTTCTAGAATTTTTCCCAATACCGGCAGTAGGCTAATGGGCCTATAGAAAGAGGGGTTTTCTGATGGCTTGCCAGGTTTGAGCACAGTGCCAATGACTGATGATTTCCAGGTAGTTGGAAAGTATGATAAACGAAGGGCTGCGTTATAAATATGAGTTAGATGGACGATCACTTTCATTGAGAGATTTTTAACTACTTTGTTAAAAGATAAGGCCATGACCTGGGGATTTGTTGTTTGCCATTTTTTTTATGATATTCACTATCTCTACTGGGGGGAGGTTGGTTTAGCAGGAAGAGCCATAGGTAAAGTTGACTGAAGACACTCCATGACTGTCGACATATGAAGTGCTGGTGTAGAGATAATATATGGTTTGAAAATTCTTGATAGTTCTTCCGCGAGGGCATCTGCTTTTTCTTTGTCTGAGGTAGCAAGTGAGTTGTCAGGTCGGCGTAGAGGGGGAAAGGAGTCCTTAATCCGTAGTATTAACTTAGTTTTGCGCCAGAGAGAACCGTTTGTGAAAGAAAGGTTTTGTATGTGATTTTTGTACAGTTTATTTTTGTGAGTTTTAAGTAGAGCTTTTAGTTTATTAGAAAGAAAATTGTGCTTAATCTTGTTTGCCGGGTAGTGTGACTGTTACCATTTTGATTTGGCTCTGCGTTTTTCAGCAATGAGTTGTCTTAATTCTGGCGAAAGACTGGGTGATTGAGAACGAGGAGAACTCTGGGTAGATGCGTCTATAACTGATTTTTGAATGTCCTCTGGGAGTTTGGCGATTGCTTGGTCGACATCATTATAATATTTTAATTTGGTGTTAAGAATTATTTTGTTTGAGATGATAAATTTGAATTTGTTCCAGTTAGTAATGCCCGGAGTAATGGTTAGTCTATTTTGTTTCAAGGAGGGTTGGGCTCCGATGAGAAGCAAGACAAGTGTATGATTAGAAGCTGGATCGTTTAAGTTAATGATTTCTGTGGATAATTGATTAGGAATATTGGTGATAAAAAAATTAAGGTTATCAGGATGACGGTTGGGATGTGATGGCCAGTATGTTGGAGAGAGAGGCGCTAATACCTTGAGGTGATTAAGAAAGATGAAATTTTGAAGAGCTCGTTCCCTGGTGTTGGTAGAACAGCTCCAAGTTTGATGTTTAGCATTGAAGTTAGCGCCAATGATATGGGTGAAGCTTAAAGTTTGAGAGAAATTACTCAGTTCGGCCGAAGGAAAAGGTCTACCTGGGGGGAAATGAGGAGATAGAAATAGTGATAGAGTTTATTTTTATTGATATGCTTTCTGCTTGAATATTTGTGAACAGATATGGTGTTAGAGAGAGATAATCAATTTTATTGGAGATGAGGAGAGCAGCACCACCGTGTGCAGTACCATTTGGGTGGTCAGCTCTAATAATATTATAACCAAGTATCCCAAATGAAGAAGTTTCAATTAGGCGAGTTTCCGAAATAAGTGCGATTTTAATTTTGTTTTTATTGAGAACTAGTTGTAATTCATTTAAATGTTGTAAAATGCCGTTAGCGTTCCATAAAAATATGTAGAATGGTTGCAAATTATTTGTTGGCATTATTTATAAGTTTTTCAATGACTGTGGTAAGAAGTGATATAAGAGGGTTTATTAATGCTTTAAATTCATTAATAAATGAAGAGAGTTGTGTAGCTATATTTTGGTTTTGATTTGAGTTGTCATTGAGCATGCAAGAAGAAGACTCTTGATTTAATGGTGGAAAGTTTTGTGAGTAGGCTTAATGCGTAGGTTCATATGTCTTCACTCCTGTTGGTTGATGTGGAAGAGGACTTTTATGCAAGATTATTTTTGAAGAGTTCTCTAATAGTTTTTTTTAAGATCCAGGTGAGATTGGCAACCTCTAAAGTTGGCCGGGTCATATCATTACATAAAGCGCATTTTGCAGGAGAGCTGCGATCTTTGGTACATGCTATCGATTCGTGATGATCACCACAACAAACACAACGAGGAGAGTGATTACAATTTCCCCGGAAGGGGAGAATTGGTGAGCTTGTTAGTTACAGGCATTATGTTTATAGTGACAAAACCTTTATTTAAAAGTTCCTGTTTAATTAAAGCAGTGTCAGTTGAATGATGCAAGTTTCTGATTACAACATGATATGCTTTTTCCTCTTTTGGTTGGAAGGAATGAAATGAGGTGTTATTATTCTTGAGGTAAGCAATGACCGTTCTATAGGAGTCAGGGCTATATGTTTGTAGTTTAAGGCCTTTGGTAGAGCATTTACAGTCAAATCCAGAGGTATCAGTTAATTCTTTAATTTTTTTGACAGAAATTATTGTAATTGATTTGATCATGAATAAAGATAGGAGGTGGTTTAGAAGTTCTATTTTCATTGATAATTTGATTTGTACCTGTTGTATCCATTGGTTGGGGTTCATTAGCAGGAGCTATTGAGGAAAAACGATTTGCAGAAAAAAAACTTTAGTGTCCGGTTTTTTTGTGGCAGGAGAAGTGCTGTTTGGGGATCTTGAGCGTTTTGATGAGGTTGGTAGGACTGTTTGCCAGTCGGATTCGTTGTCGGAGAAGTCACCGGGACTGTTGGTGCTAGTTTGATCTACTAATGTTTTAGAAATAATTAGCGGTGGAATAAAATTATTTGCTATATGTTTGTATTTTGGTGATTTGGGATTTTTGCTGATAGGAGTTGGTGGACGATTAGAGTAACTCATAATATTGTAGATATATGTAATAAAGAAGATAAGGTAATTTATAGGTTGGCCTTGGGGAATGATTAGATAACTTATACATTACCAGCGGTACTAACTAGTACCACAACAATCACTGGACACAACGAACAATACACATGCTATCGAGAACTGATAAAGCAGAGCGAGTGGCAATTAACGTGTGGACTGTACGACGTCTAAACACAAACTGAAAATAAAAAAAAAAATTTTTTTATATTAAATAAAAATAAAAAATATGGATCAAAAGTTATAATTATGTCAGAACATGATGGGACAGCCAGTATATATATATATATATATATATATATATATACTAAAAAACTTTAATTTAATTTTGAAATGACACTATTATTCTAATTTTCATTTATTTTTAGTCGATAAAGGAATATGCTATAGATGTGAGGATGAAAAATTAACAGTAACATTTAAGCCTTGCGGTCATAAAATTGGAAACAACTGTGCATATAGAATGCATGTTTTGAATCAAAAATCATGTCCTTTTTGCGAAAATTATATTAATGAGTTTGAAAACTTGTGTAAACCTTATATACGTAAGTAATTTTTTATTATTTATTATATTATATTTCAAGTACTGTAAAAAATTTTTTGTTAATAATCTGTATTTTAGTTCCAAAATTAATCAAATTTTTAAAATGTCTATTTTTATTCTATGTTCCAGATTTAATTGATAGATTTTTTTCATGACCTTTAAAAAATTCAAAATAAATAAATCATTTTATAATAAAAATTTGATTTTATAAGCATATGCCTAACGATATTGAAAATATTACTAGCATGATGGTGATATTATTATAAATATCAGTTTCAAACGATATACTGTAATACCAATAGTAATCGATGTATTGTTATACTTTCAAGAACCAGTAGAATAGAATTAATAGACATTATACCAAATTAATAATAATTACTAGCATATGTTTAATTATTAATGATTTAATAATTTAAAAATAGTTCGTGGGAAAAAAGATATACTGATTATATGTATTTCGGTGTTTTAATTATAAATAGTATAATTTCCTCTTCTTTTTCCTCGCCTTTATTCATGGCTTTTATAACCATCTAACAAGTAAGTTGTAAGTCTATTTTCTCTCATCTTATCCATGATTGACGCTACATCTATACTTTCTTTTATAAGGAGGAATAATTAGTTTACTGTTTTTAAAAATATGTATATCAGTATCGGTATATCGGTTTTTTTACAACATACCCCAAAAAAATATATATAAACGCTATAATAGTAATATAAATTGTTTTACATAAACGTTGTAATATTTAGAAAAAAAATTATAGCGACATGTTAAAAACATTAAATTTTATTTAATTTTTAAAACAAGCTCAATTAATAAATAAGATTTCTAGTTATTTTTTATACACCCGAAGATATCTAGTTCGATAACGTTAAAACCTTATGATAAAAATTAATATTAAATTGAAATTCCATAATAGTACATGATTATTTAATATTTAATTTCACATAAACAATTTTTATAAAAAATATTATTTATTTATTTTTTAATAGAAATACGAAAGTTTAAACTACATCACGTTTTAATGTTGTTAATTATTTATGGTTCTATTTACTATTGATCCTGTATTTATGACATTTCGTTAAAAAAAATTTAAAATTCACAATTAGTACCATTCCTATTTTAATTTCATAAAAATATTCTGTTATAAAATAATGTTTTAGCCAAATTTGTAATTTATTTTATTAAATATTATTAATATTCTAATATATTATAATATAATAATATATATTAATATATAATATTATATCAATTTATATAATTTTTTTTTTATTAAAGCGTAAATTTAAAATGTTTTTCCTTTGTTTTTATTTTAGCGGCGCTTAATAAACCTGGTTAGTAGCACATCTATATAAAAAATATATAAAATAGTTATATAATTTGTTTAATTAAAATTTTTAGTATTAACATGCATGAATATGATTTGTAATCATTATTTAATTAAAAATTTGACTTTTAGACATTGAGCTTTGTGTATGTTGTACCGAAAAGACCTCGCGTACTATTCAACCTTGTAATCATTTAGTAGGATACGAGTGTGGAAGTATAATAGATGATGCAGATATAATAAGTTGTCCAATTTGTAATCAAGTAGTAAACAGTAACAGTACGTACATAAAATTTTATAAACATAATTTTTTAATATTTTATGTATTAATACGTTTTCATACTTATAGCTGTGAACCAAAACCCAGTAGAATCCCCAAATATGTACAGTAGTGAGCTAGATGGATATCATACAGGTAAACTTGAGATTGAATTAAATTTTTGATAATTGTTTTAATAATTAACAAGACAAAAATATTTGTAACCGCGTTTAATAATTAAATGCAAACGATTAATTACATGAATAAGAATGTACAATATATAATACAAGAGCCAGGCTATATTTTCATTGTTCTAAGTCAGATAATAGTGATGGGTCGGTACACGTGTAATTGGTCCAAAATAACGAGTACATTGGTGGAACGAGTAGGACCGATTACACTTAGTCGTCTTTACGGTGACCAATCTGTGGTTTCCTAGGAAGTAGTGCGACCGTATTCAATCGTAGTCACTACTCACTCGAGAGTAGTTGATCGCGCATTGGTGAAAAATGGACGATTTGGACATAGCGTTATTAGTATGTTTGGATGATGAAGAGTCATCAGAAGACGAAAACAATCGTTTGGAGGAGAGTGTTATGTTCAAAAATCGTGAAACTGAGGGTTGGGTTGATGTTGCTTTTGGAATAATCCACCAATTGCCTACTTTAAAAAAAAAAAAAAATTGGTTGGGAATTTTTTCTGCTATTCTCCAAAATTACTCCTTCGTTGACTAGAATGAATCATTAAATAGAAAATTTTATGACAATTAAAAAAATTGTATAGTTAAGATCAATATGCAGTCAGAAAGTTTTATAATTACTATTTATTGTAAATTTATCAGAAAAGCTCTATATTTTTTTGCATTTTTATGGTAATAGATAACTTAAATAGGAGTAATAGTGTTAATTAAGCTATAGTTTTGACAAAATCAATTAATTGTTCATCATTTTCGCTCGTCCAAATCACGTTTCCACTCATTGTATAATTTAAAAATGCACACCGCTACACGGGAAAAACGTTGAACTTTTGTTTATCACCGCTATGACGGCCGTCATGCAACTGACAGCACCGCTATTTGACGTTACGGTGACACTCAACGTACTCTAGGAAACCTACTCCGATGTTATTTATAGAAAACGTCACCCAACGCTATATTACGGCCGCTAGATAACGGCACCGCTTTTCTAGGAAACCATAGCGGTACGTTATTTTTACGGTGCGTATCGATTATGAGCGGCAGCCGCGCGAGCCATTTTAACTTATCTTATTTTAGAGCGCGGCAGCCTCGCGTATCAAGTTATCCAGGTTGGGTTGAGTTCCTAACTAAAACTTCTTTGCCGCGTGCTATTTTACCGACATAATTTGGCTCGCCGCGCGGCAAATCGGTATCCATTTGGCGCGGCTGCCGCGCGAGCCAATGTTCGAGGGTTTACCCCGCATAATTGATACGCACCTTTACACTATCGTTCCGTCGGTACAATATACAGTTGATCCCCAAATGATAACAATAGTGACCTGAGTACTTGATTAATTCTTGCTTGTTCGGGATTGTGTAACTATGTCCTACAGTAACTGTCTATTTGGTAAACCGTTGACTAGGCCGCCCTCTTCTTACTGTGATGGAAAACTAACGCTATCTCTTGGTTTTTTTAATAATCTTAAAAAAAAACTATTACTAGACCTCCAATTTATAACTGCTAATGGCACATATTTTAAATTAGTGATGGGCATAATCGAATTATTAGTAATCCAGAGAATCTCTTGAAATTCTACTCGAAATAAAAATCGTTCATTCTTTTGATAATAGTAATCGATTATTCTTAATGATTTTGAGTATGTTTCGATTACATTAAATACATTTATAACTTATAACCAAATTATTCAATGAAGTATAAGTAAAGAAATATGCATTAGATGTTTTAATAATACTACGAACTAATGTATAATGTATGTATGCTATTATTGAAATTTAAAATATACTAATTCAATTACGAAATTACGATTATTTTACTTATAATCGAAATATCTTGATTATTATATATCTTTGATTATTAATTTCAAAAAATAGTCTTTGGTTTTTTTTTATAAACTCAGCCCATTTTATGGTCTCTGTTAATCGAGTGTAAAAGATACAACGTATATAAATCAGAGCTGAATTTAGACTTTTGACGCCCCTGGCCAATTTTTTTGGGCACACCATTGAGAAAAAAGTCGTCAATTTTTAACGCTGGTATGAACACTAGGCCCTTTTGGCGAGGTGCTAATAGTTAACCATTTATACAGGGTGTTCAGTAAGTCAGGAAACGGGTTTCTATTGTTCTCATTGTTACAAACAATGAGAACAATAGAAACCCGTTTCCTGACTTACTGAACACTCTGTATAAAAATAAAAATGAAAAAAAAAAGTTAAGTGCAGTATTTTTGTTGTATTTTTTAATTGAGATATTTTTAAATTAATATCGATTGATTGTATGACTTATTGAACTCTTTGTCATAAGTAAAACGCTACGGTGCGTATTTAAAAAAAAAATGGTATAATGATTTTGCCCCTTCCAAAGTATTCCAAGTACCTTGATTTATGATAGGATTTTCAAAAAAGGATGTTGATATTTATAAATTATTTTGTTTATTATCTCTAGAAATTTTATTTTGATCCAAACAATTCTGTATAGTACATTAAATAATTAAATAATTAAATTTTGTTTTAAATGAGAATGTAGATGTTAAGTTGTTATGCAAAATACTACAAAATCGGCAATTGTTACCGGAAATTGTATGATTTTTGACTTTAATGCACAATATTTCCTAGAAATCAAGTTTTTTGGATATTTACCAGTTTAAAGTACATTAAATTTGCGGCTTAAATGCATTTTACCACCCCATCGAGATTTTTCAAATTTTTTTTTTTAAATCAATTTAGTTTTTCATACCAACTAAGAATATATAAAAATTTTTTGTCGGCGAAGTCTAGTTTAAAAGTTATGAGCTTTCAAAGATTTCAATAATCATATACAAATTTTGTTATATACTGCTGTTTTTTTTTTGATAATTTTCATTAATTAACTATAAAAAGTATTCTCGATGATGTAGTTACCGAGGAATAGTAAATTTAAGAGTATTTATGAGTACATTAAACGTGTTAAGGTAGTGTTGAAGTAAATAAATTTAATTTTTTTTTGAATTTTTTTCAATATTATATCACCATTTTAACATCAAGGTTTTATACTTGTTAGGTCACTGAGAATTTCAGTCGAATGGGTTTAAATAGGTTGGGTTTGGGCTTGACTTCTATCCTCTGGGGGTTTGGGGGCGTCAGCCCCCATCCCATGAGAGTCCCGAAGGTGCTCGAATCGGTCACCGGAGCCGGCAGGCGTAGGTGACCACAACTTATATTTAAATGGGTTTGTATAACTCAACATTATAACATTAAGATATTAGTAAGTATATTTTGATACCTCAACAACTTAACTAATATCAACAATATCTAATGTAATAGTAATTTTTTTTTGTTTACAACAAGTGTTAATTGGTGTACATAATAAACAGTAAAAACTTTTATTTTATTGAATTAACAATTCTATGTAAAACACCACATCGTGGTCTTTTTTTTTTTTTGCTCAAATTGAATTAATTGAGTTTCTTGTTATTTTTATTTCGTATTGCGTAAATTTGATGTGCGTAGTTTTGAAAAAAAAATTTGGAAAATCCTTATTTTTAAAGATAATTTTGGTTTTAGGATTTTTAGAATGAGGATATTATGTAATAATTACGTCATTATAGTTTCACAATAGTATCATGAGAAAAAATCCCAAAAATTAACAAAAAAAAAAACAATTTTTGAGCTATTTTTAGTTTTTGACGTTTCAACTTTAAAAAGCTATAACTTTTGAACCAATTTTTTCCGACAATTTTTTCAAACACTTTTGAAAAAAGCATTAAAAAATACACGTTTAAAAAAAAAAAAAAATGAAAAAACTCGATGGGGTGGTAAAATGCATTTGTTCCAAATTTGCTTTGACTTTGTATAAGTTTTTTGATCATTATAAAATATTGAAAAGAAAAAAAGATTTGGTATTAATTTCGTTTCATCATTTTTTTATCAACATTTGAAAACAGTTTGACTCTCAGGTATAACAACAAAAAAGTTTATTATGTTATTTAATCAAATATTTAAATTTTTTAAGGGGGTAACTTCATAAAAAAAAAACTCCTACTATTGAAGCAATTATTGAGCTAGATAGGTATTTAAATGAGACTATAATAAAAAGAAAGTCGGATCCTTTGTTATGGAATAAGAGGAAAATGATGTTTTCTAAATTATTTGATCTTTTATTGTTGAGATTATGTGTTCTTTAAACTTCTGTTCCGTGCGAACAGGTATTTTCTAAAGTGGGATACACAATTACTGAAAGGCGTAATAGACTTATAGTTAAAAATTCAGAGATGTTACTGTTTTTTAATAGTAATTTTTGATTAAAAATATAATTTTAAAAGACGTTTTTTATGTAGTTAAATAATTTAACAACATAATTATTATGTTATAAATGAATTAAAATTTTAAGAAGAGATTGAAAATATTTTTTGAAATAAATATTGTTTTGAAGATATTTTTAATTTTGTAATATACTTATATAATTAAAAAAAACAGTATGTTATTTAACATATTGGTTAACATCATGATAGTTTTATACTTTAATAATTGATTATCCCTCATATTAACTTGGCCAAAATACGGTACGTGTTTAAAAAATACGGTTATTTATTTATTCTGTGGTAAGGTATCTATTTTTTTGATTAAAATTTAATATTATGCCTAACAATATTTCTGTATTGTTGTATTTATTTAAGGAACAATCTTTTTGTTCTAACTTATAGTTTTAGTAGTTTAAATAATAACGCAAAAAGTAGTTAATAAAGATATAATCAATCAAAATAAAAAGATATAAAATATTGATACACTTAAAAACGGATAAATAAATAATACACAAAATAAAAACTTAATGTCACAAACGTACCACACGGAAAGAGATTACCTTCGGTACTCCCGAGGTCTTCTCTTTCTCCCCTTTTTAATTCATTCCGTTTCATCTTATATACTAAAATATTTTGTTTGTCTTTCTATAAAATTCATATAGTAATCATTTTCAAAAAGGTTT